TCAATTACCAATTGAACAGCATTCAGCTCAATCAGTTTCGTTTAGCAGTTCGGCAGCATTCAGTTGGCATTTCATTTTTCAATTAGCAATTCAACAGCACTCAGCTTAATCAGTTTCAATTAGCAGTTCGGCAGCATTCAGTTGGCATTTCATTTTTCAATTAGCAATTCAACAGCATTCACCTCAATCAGTTTCAATTAGCAGTTTGGCAGCATTCAGTTCCTACCGGCACTCGGTAACCTATCATCATGTGAGCATTCAATCTCAGTTTGAACAGAGAAGGCACTTGGTAGTTGTTGTCCAAACACAAAGTTTAATTTTATTTAGACAGAATTCTTGCCAGAAAGATATCGATCGGTTCTAACTCCCACCTCAGCCTGTGAGTACAGTACAGTCGTTCCCTGTCCCTGAGGTTGTCCTGTCAAACCTCAACCAAGTGGCTTCAAAGGATTCCTTCTGGTATCAGTATGCTAGTGTTGTTTGCTTCAGGCAGGGAGACCTATCTATCTATGTGGTCCACACAAAGTTTGCTAGTGGTACCCTTCATGACCTGAGGCCATATTTGAAGAAGGGCAAAGAGTTCCATGACCATTTTGACTTGGTCTGGATTGCAGCGGCCGGGTACCTGGAGGGAAGAGAGAGAGAGTTTGATGAGAGTGGTACTAGGCTGATCCGCAGCTTTGGGCCGAAGCTCTACTCTGACTACCCCAGGCCCCCAGTGCCCTTTACTCTGACATACGGCTCTTGTTGGGGAGATCAGGTTGACCCGGCCAAGAGGTACCTTTCGCCTACGGTGATTGATTATGAGGTAGTGACTAAGCCATCCGAGTTCCTGCATCTCAGGAGGAGCGTCTTCTCTCAGCCATACCTCCCCACTCTATGGGAGGAGTTCTGTGCTATGGTTGATTTCCGTGTCATGGGACTTGGATGGAAGTTCTCAGAGTTAGCAGGGTTCAGGTGGCTCTACATTCAGAAGCCTCAACCTCAAAGAGTGCGGAGGTATGGCAAGAAGCCCAAACAATAGATGACAAAGTGACAGATGGAGAGTGAGGTTCAGAGGGTTGAATGAGGACTCTTGATTGGTGTTGGTCATGCTCTTTCCATGTGTACTACTTGAGATTATTATGAGTTCTCATTCTTCCCTCAATCATTTAACTATGTCTTTGCTCGAGTCAGTCGGTCTTGCCTTCTTGCATCGTTTTTTTTTCTTGATGATTGCTCTCGTGAAAAATTATGTCACAATTCTTAAAATCAGATTGGCACAACTGACGCATGCATAGCGTTCCATAATTTTTATGATTATTATTTGCATGATTCTTTGCTGTTCCGAATCACAATTAAAAATTCCTAAGACCGGGGACCGGCGAAGACCGCAATTGAAGGGTCTCGCTCGAAGCCGGACGCACACAACAAGAAGGGATTTCCATTAATTAATTTTATTTTACTATTGCAATCACAAATAAAACCCTGCGTGACAGCCTGTTGGTTTTCCGGTCGTCCGAAGTGGCCCGACTGGAAAAAGTGCAACACCGCTTCTCAACATTATTTCTCAGCATTTCTCAGACACCCTATGATGACTAGAACAAGCGCCTTGAGGATAGCTGGTGCATGGTAGGGGCCAGGGGACGAAGGGAGACTTCACTGGTGCCCCCCAATGTCTCCCCCCAGTCCCTGGCCCTTCTGCAGGACAATACCGGAATGCAGGTGAGGCTTGGATAAGTAGATGAGGTATGGGACGCTGGACTCGGTTTCCAGCACAATGGCGTCACTCTCAATGACGTACTGTGATGATGTATCTAAGGGACGCTGAACCCGGTTTCCAGCAGAAAAAAAAATATATATATATATAAGCTTTTTTAGTCTTAGATCTCTAAAGGGCTCGTTCGACACTCCTCGGCCGCGTAAATCCCCTGAGGAAATCATCATTCCACTTATCCTCGGGGAAGATATTGAAGAAAAAATATGAAAACATTTCCTCGAGCATTCCTCGGGGATTCCTCGGGCTACAGCCATTTCGACGCTTTCCCCAGGGTTGTCGACCCCCGGCCCCGAGGCCCCGGCGGGGGTCTCGAGGGTCGGGGGTCGGCACCCCTGGGCCCGGCAAAAAAAAAAAAAAAAAAAAAAAAAAAATGAAAAAAACAAAAAAAAAAAAAACACAGAGGGGTGCGTAGCGTCGCCACTAAGCCCCTGGCGTTTTCTGGTTTCTCCAGAAAATGGGCTTGGTCGGGCCCTTCCCCCCGGGTGGATGTCACCCCTGTCGGGGGCGGGGCCATGGCAGAGCGGGGGCGGGGGTGTTTCGGCGGGCGGCGGGCGCGGGCTCCCCCGGGGGGCAGTCACGGAGCCGGGGGTCACTAGTTGGCGGGGGTCCCTCGCGGGCGCGG